GTCATAAAAAATCCGCGAATAAAGAAATTTATAGTCGCGAATATGGGAATCGAGTCGCATTTTTTTCATCCGCGAAAATTGAAACTGCGAATGAAGGAAGCGCGAATAAGAAGCTTTCACTGTATTTCAATAGCCACAAAAACAAAAATACTATGTATATAAGACCGAACATTTCCTTAGCAACACATCGCAACATTTTGCATTTAGTGTCTTGTGTATATAGAGAGGGCAGGATTGGGGCGCATTTGGCGGTGATGAACCTGGGCCAGAATAAAGGAATTATGTTTTTCTGATGGGTTTTAGCGCTCTTTAAGACATGTCAAATACCTGTACTTGACGAAATTCGTTATTGCACTATATGGTAAACAGCAGCAAACATTTTTTTTTTCTAGTTTTATTTAAGCTTGCATTTCGATTTTCCTTTAGCTTTTCCAATCATTTCGTTATTTTTTGGGTATGCTTCCATTATTAATGACCTTAACAGAAGCGTGAACCAATTGTGAAGATAGCCCACCTTTTAGCAATTAAAAAATTGTGCTACTCACAGTGGACTAACTTCACGCCTGCTTAATTTTGGACTATTATTTAAGCCGTATTTCATTGGTTTCTTAGGTTGTGAATTTTTTGTTATTTCTATGCATATATCTATATGTGAACACAGTCCTTGAACTCGATGGGGTCACTGTTAAACAAAGTTCAGTATAGCAAGTTATTTCTCCATATTCATTACAGAGAAAATATAAATGTTTTTGATATATTGTCATAGCAATTTGTTGATATTGCCTAAAGAAAAGTGCCAAAATGTGGCTAACAGAAGGAAATGAAAAGTTACGTTACTAGATACTGCTTATTAAAGCAAACTATGCTGAAGAGCTTCATTCAAATGCTGAATTTTGAAGTTTTCAATATCTCAGGCAATAACAGGTAAGATTCCTGAAGACATCACGCTTTTCGATTTAAGCAAACGTACTTTTGAGCTTATTTCCGCTTGTTCTCGTTGTTTTTTCCGAATATGAGACTGATAATTGCTTTTCACTTAATTAAGACATCAATAGTATTGTTTTTGTAAAAAGCTTTACAGCCAACACAAAGTCTTTTCAACAGTAACGTCCACTTTCGGTTTACTGGCTTGTCTAATTAGTAAAACCGCAAACGAAGCACCAGCCGAATGCATTATATCAAATATAAATTGATCATTCAACGAGCACTTCATATTGGCAGAATCGTTGCCTTAAGGAAATTCCATACAGATACATACGTATGCCTAAATGGAGGCAAAAATGTTCCGACATTCTCAAAGTAAACCATATTCGGTTGGGCCGGGTTTTAAAACCCGCTGAGTCCATTTGGCATAAGAGGTTTACTTAGAGCAGGTAAGTCAAAAATCTATTTATACATATCTGTCTTTTTTCTTCTCTTTTGTCGTCTTATCGATGTTTGTGACTAAATGATAAAGGCAATATAAAATTGATTGTATGTCTACACGTTATTTTTGGCGATCTTTGGTGCGATTTTGCGAGGTTCTCTTATTTTTTGTACACTTTGTAAAAGATGTATTTTCGTTCCAAACGAAGCCATAATACTGCTGCTACTAATCGAGGCTGGCATTTGCACTAAAGGCTAACGCAAAAACTTAAAATGGGATTGCAAAGTAACATAAATCATGCTCAAGACATGGGACTTTATGAAAATTGATTAAATTTTTGTGCACAAAACTCTGCATGCTTCCTTACACTTCTAAGCAACTGATTGATTTATGAAGAAGTTGTTATCCATTGTTTGTAATCGTCAAATAACAACCAATTTTTCTTTTGATCGGTGTTTGGTTGGCCAAAGGTAAAGCAACTAGGGCATCAGCATTCTTGAAACAAGATTACGCAAAGTCTCCTTGGGAGTTTCCGATGCTGTTCTCCCTTTTCTTAGAGAGAAGAATTTAGCTCGAATTTTCGGCTATTGCATTCAAGCATACTTAAATTTGTATGTATCACAGATTTCGATCGGTACGCTCTTAAAATATCGGCACAAATTTCAACTTTTATTGAATGGTAAACAGATCTAACATAGAAATAAGCATCGGCAATACATATGCTATAAACTATACGTGTGCTTGATCTACATGCAAATCGAAATCGACTTATTTACATCAATCTGCTTACTTTTTGACCTTGTCACTACAATCTCAAAATACGTGCCCCGCACAGCGACTTTCGCCTGTTGTAAGTGTCCTTAATTAGCATATATAGTACTTAGCCACATGGTTGTGCCTACGGCTATACGTCGAATGTACCATTTTACGGAATACGACCTAAGGAAGGGAAACCGCTGTAAATTTTTCAGAAAAAAATCTTTTCTTTATTAGCTTAGTGAATGCTTTGAACATTCTAGAATGTGTGGAAAAAAATTAATTACTTGAAAAACCCTTTTGTTTTGGAGCTTTTACCCTGTGCTCCGAAAAGATTACCTATGTTGACTGGATTCAAGCTGTAGAGTTATAGTGTAATGTCTTATCCGTTGATATTTACTTTACCTGCTGGAATATATGTTTATAAGGTGTTTGTGTTTATTTAAAAGCATTTTCAAATAAGAATAAGCTAGCGTAGCTTTGTTCAGATAAGGGGCTGAAATAGATAAAAAAACGCGCCGGTATATATGCCAAGAAATTACAAATGTGAAATGGAAATTTTTATGTTAATTATGAACTTGGTTATTGAGTCATACAGTTGCTTGCCTTTTTCTCTATCATTTCGCAATATGTAAGATGTCAAACATGCAATCTTGTTTTGGTCTTGTCTTCGACATATGCAGCAATATACATATTTTTGACCATAAAATCTTCGAGGTAAGGAAATGAAGAAAAATATATGAATAAGGAAGAGCATTTTTACTGTTCTGGGACTGCCCGCTAGTAATTAATGTTAAAAATAATAAAATAAACATATGTTATAATAAAAAGTACATTTTTATAATACATTCCAAAACTTTAAACTAGTTTAAACAACAAGGTTTTGTAAAACGCCATCCAACATAACTCCAATAGTTTTTATTCTTTTCATTCGAATCTTTAAAATAACATTCTATAAAGAAGTAGGACATATACTTTTAATCAGTTAATTGAGAGCTATAAACAAAATACGCGCTTTTTTTGGTCAAAAATTGAACTTCTTTGTGCAAATTCTTGACAATCACGCAAAGATCAATATTTCTACGTAAGATACTTCTCTATATACAGGTTAGACATTTTTTTTTCTTTTCGCTTATTCGAATCAAATGTGTACCCGTTACATTAGATTACGCCAACTCCTTTAAATTGAAGATGGCCTGTAAGAATGCTACTACTACGCTGCCATTTTTTAATATTTTTGCATAATAATTTTTGATTATTACTAATAAATATGCCTAGCTATGTTCTATTACCTTTCCTTTCATCCAACCAAGAATTGTACAAAAATACTTTTTCGCAAAGTGTTACAATGCAACCTTCCCCCCTTAAATTGATAAATTCAGCTATAAACGCCACAATGTTAAAAAAATAGAGCATTTACGTTTTAGAGCTGGAGGAATGAGAATTTTTCCTAATGTTGCTACGTATGCCCTATAGGCAAATGTTACGTTGAAAATCTTTTTACTTATAACACGTGCAATTTGAGAGTTGCGTATGCTATTTTGTAACAAAAGCTTAAATAAGGCAAGGTAATTTTGGACGAGCAATAACAATATGTATATACAGATTCATATAAGAATGCTACTGTTTGCATTGCTGTTGAAATATATTTTCTCCACTTGTATTATACTTCATATTAAACAAAAAGAAAGCAGATAACTCAAACAACTCTGTTGAAATCAAATAAACTCGTTCCTTTGTTGTTGCGACCAAACAAGGTATATTAAATTTGGGAGCACAATAGTTAAAACTGGAAATCGGATATGTAATTTCCACGTCAGGATAAATTTAAAATTCACCTGCAAGCCTGTGCATTATCTATAAACAATCATTTATGAGATGCGAAATATGATTTAAAATACACGTTTCATGCGATATTATATATATCGAATGAGCGATTGCCTTCGTCATCCTGCAATCAAATATTACATACAAGAAATTTCTTCGATTTCAGTCGAGTGAAATTTTTTTCTTCTTCTTTCACTTGAAATGAAGTAAACCCTAATTTAAAACAATTTCTCTGAAGTTCTTTATATATGGAAAAGTGATTCATATTTGAGGTTATTTCAAACTGAACCAGTAACAATGAGACTAATACTGTTACATAATACAATAAATTATCCAATTACATGTGACTTACTTTATATACTACTCTTTTATAGAAGAGATAGAGTGAAAGAGAGAGAGACAGAGAGAGAGATAGAGAGAGAGAGAGAGAGAAGGAAAGAGAGAGAGCAAGAGACTCGAAGTCAGAACTAGAGAAAAAAAATGTGCGAGAGAGAGAGAGAGAAAGAGAAGATAACTTTAACACGTGCTGTTACCACTCATAGAGATAAGAGTTTCGCAACATGAAATGGCGCAAAAAAGGATAGAAAAACGGAAGTGTGTAAATGAAAATGAGCAAACAATGCCGACAAAACTGACAAATAACACATCATACTCATACAAATTTACACCTGCACACATATCCACCTAAATACAATGTCCTATTTGCTTTGCTTTAGAAATTAACGTAAATGGCGCGCAAATTGTAAAACACAGCTGAGTCTCGGCACATTGTTCGTGTGCAGTTCGGGCGATGCTACTAATAATCTTACAATTATTATTTTATATGCATGTATACATATATATGGAAAGGCACACATTGAAACACATGCCCACCTATATCCAAACAGAAAATATAAACCTTACTACTACTACAAGCTTACAAAAGAGAAACACAAGGATAATACAATGATAATATTAGCATTTCATGATGGTGTTATTACTGTCGTATTTGTTGTAAGCGTTGCTACCATTAGAGTTCTTGCTGTTGTTGTTCTGGATGTTGTTGTTATTGTAATTTATGCAAAATAAAAAGGCACACCATTTCAGTGGACACGAGCAGTTACAACTAAAACGTGTAACGTGTAACATCTCCAGTTTAACAGAAAGTGGATTAATAATAATTAATAAAAAAATTAAATTTTTATTTAATTAATAAAACATTTAATATATGAATTAAGATATGGCTGGTCCATTTCTTTCGCCTTTACCGGGAGATCTTTTAACGGAATACATGTTTGGTAGACGGCGTCAACGTCGTAATCGTACTACCTTTACCCCTCAGCAATTGCAAGAACTTGAAGCTTTGTTTCAAAAAACTCATTATCCTGATGTGTTTTTACGCGAAGAAGTTGCGTTAAGAATAAGTTTAAGTGAAGCTCGTGTCCAGGTGAATAAGAAAACATATCTTTCCACAGACTTATTAGCGATATGAGTGATACTTTTTTATATTTTTACTATTTAGGAAAATTTATACGAAACATATTTTGATGCGATTTTAGTCTTAAATATGTTCCAATAAAATGTTAAATTAATTGACAGTCAAGAAAGCGAACTTGATTTAAAAATAAATCTTGTTTTGATGTAGTAATCTTATAAAGTTTTTTGATTTTTTGCAATGGATTTGAAGTCTTTCTAGTTTATATTTGATCTACCAACCGATAAAAGCTGTTTTTATAGAATCAATTTATGACAGTTATTGCCGTTTCCTTATATTTTGCAGATTACTCATATTATCGTATACTACATTTATTTTATTTTGGTGAAAATTGTATTACTTGTAGGCGGAGAAGGCAAACCGACATCGCTTTTGTTTTCGGAATTAGTTTGTAAGTTATTGTTGGTTGTTGTAAGTTGTTTTAGGTTTCTAACTATTGTATTGTTTTCACAAGCTGACCATTTCTATTTCACGGTATCACTTTGATCAAGAAATAATAGCTTTTACTAAGTCTATGAGGGCAAACGAAATTTGTAGGCCCCCATTATATAGTGGTGGGCAAACTAGATCCACATATCATAACTTAGGTATTGAATTTCCCCTAAAGAATAGTCTTATTTTATAAAAAAATAAGTTATATATATTTTTTATGGCCAAAAGTAATAATCGATGCACTTACATTTGTACTTTCGCCTTTGATGGAATTGAATTTACCTTCCCTTTGGTATTATCTAGAAAGACGCATTAAGGACTCGTCAATAAACATATACTCTTGATTAATTGAAAATTTGAAATCGATGTAGTCATGCCATATTAATTATTCAACTAATTTAAATAATATATAATTTAAATAAAATAATAGCCACAAAAACAATGAAAAAATGCACGCGCCCAATTGCTTTCACGCTAGGCAAAAACCTGTAAGTTACAATTTTTAGCAGGTATCAATTTAATTATAACGTAATGTTCGATATAGTTAACAAAAACTTTTCAAATTCTACCCCAAAATATTAAAAATTTGATCCAAATAGATTCCAACCTCTATTCTATGTTATTTCAATGTTTCCGTAATTATGCAAATAAAATTTTCTTGTCCAATGTTGTTTGGAAGAGAAAATTTTTTTTTGCATAATTGCGGAAAAAAATGTTGTTTTGCTTCAAATTTTTATGATCAACAGCATCCATTGCGTTAAATTGTTTAGAACAATTACTACTGACTTTTCATCACTTTAAAACGGATAGCACGGCCTTATTCTATTAAAAAATTTTTATTAGATAACCTGATCTCAGGTATACACTTTATTTATGGAATGCATACCCATGCGCTTGTGGGTTTAAAGAATATTTTTGTTAGGCTTAACGTTTTTTAAACTATATAATATTTAGGAACACACGCACGCAGGCGCGCTCGCAACATCGATATGAATACATTTTTCTAATCTGATTTTCAGGATTACATTGATTGTTGGCAAATGTCTTGTCAGTTCGTCGCAAATTCATATATAAAAAATAAGCTGATATATAAATTTTCAATAACGTAGCCAATAGACAAAAAGGACACGGGTCAAAACATTTTACTGCTACTACCGGAAAATAAGTTAGGGCGAACGAACCTGGCTTAAACTATTATACTATCTATGATGCTGGATGAGGTAAAAAAAACTGAGCCTTTAGCTCATTCATTCAACATAAAGTAGTATACGCTATTATTCACCAACTGGTATAAATCTTGTTAAAAATGTTGTACATCCACATTTCGATATATAATTCAGTTTACTAAAAACGTGTGGACGCCACTATCGGTGTAGAAAGTCGAATTTACTCATATAACATAATAAAAATCTCGTTAAATTTTAAATTTTTGGTTTAATTGAAATGAGCCGATTACGTGTATTATTCAAGTACGTAATGTTCGCGAATAGTGACACCAAAATTACTTTCGTGATACTTTGTCCATAATATATTTTTGTATGGGATGAACTATTTAATAACCATACGAACGTTCTTTTCTTGAAATCGCAAAATCATCATTCACAGTCCCGCAGACGATCTTATCAATATTTTAAACTTTTAGGCTTAAAAACTAGTCTAACCTTCTCTTTTTCAGGTCTGGTTTCAAAATCGCCGTGCAAAATGGAGAAAGCAAGCTCGATTGCAATTATTACAAGATGCTTGGCGGATGAGATGCTTAAGTTTAGGCACGCCACCTGTTATAGGCCAAGGAGGTAACTATTTTTAACCAAACAAAAAAAGAAAAGAACAATTTCCGTAAGTACACATTAACACTCAGTTTTCATCTCTAAAACACCGACAGCACGTACATCAAGTGGTTCAGTACTAAATGCAACTACCGCAGCTTCTACACCCCCTACAACGATACAACAAAATGATATATCAATACCGGAAAATTTATCAAATTCTAATAGCAAAGACTCATTAAATGATAATAACAATCAAACAGCACAAAATTTTACTATGATGCATCCTGCTTTTCAACAACAGCAGCTGCAAGCGCAAAAATCTGGTACCACAGAAACTAAGACTAATAAAAACAATAGTGAAGATGAGGGAGATAAAACTTATACAGAATTGAAATTGTATAAAGAACATCAACAACTTCAACAGCAACACCAACAGCATCATTCACAAGTAACAGAAACTCTACACGGGCAGATGTCAACAGATCATCGTTTAATTGCAGCGCATTTGGAGCAAAACTCTGATGATGGTTCAGACAGTTCGGATTCAGAGGAGATCGATTTGACTTCCGGTTCTTGTTTGGATTTTTCAAATGCTGGTCGACAAGCACAACAAACTGTTGTTAACACTAGTAATCAACAGGAGTCACTAGCTATTGCTACTAATGGGGTGCACTAATCTTTACATTCTAATTTTTTTGGTATTAATCGAAATTTTTGTTAATAAATTTAATCTTCAGCAATAACTAACCGAATGATACGTCACATTTCGTATATATTTTAATACTGTTTTATTTGTATAAGTATTGTACTGAATACATAACAAATTCTGCAGTCATGTTCTTGTTGTAAATTCCATTATCAAAAATAGTTCAAACTTCTTCTTTTTGCATTTAAAGTAAATTGGGCTATTACTATTGAATCAATTGAGCAAATAGTTAAGTTAGAAACATTTGCTCCTTTATACCCGTTTCATGTCAGCAAAAATAAGGAAACAGATGTGTGACTATTTTGCTTTTAGCTTTTTGGGAATCAAGAAGAAGAAAAAACATGTGGACAGCAATCTATTTGCTCCCTAAAGAATATTTTTCTACCTTTCATGGCAACAGCGATGGGATAATTCGCGTTATGGCCGTCGTTTCTACTCTTCATTTCCGCAAATAAATAAGTCTCCTTGGTTTATCAATCGCGAACTCAGGCGTGACATTATTTGTCTTATTAACACGCTGATGCTCAATCACATGAGATGTAATGATCATCTATTCAAAATTAACATAATAATCAGCTCTTTATGCACCTGTGGAGCCTTACAATTTCTTGACGATATCCTGTTTGTCTGTTCGAATGTTACCACTTCTATTCGCTATTCCACACTTCGCCAAGTGAGTATATGTGGTCTTCGTGGCCGCAGCATTCTTGGCATTTTGCGTTTTCGCAATTTAACGGGTTACGTTGCAATCTTTTCCTTTTTTGAATCTTGTCATCAAGACATGAGAGTTTACAGTAAATTTATGAACCTACTCTCCTACTTTCCTATCTAGGCTTTTTTGCTCTCACACCCGTCAATTCCTTCATACAACTTTTTATACTCATATACAACATTACACATTACACATCGGAATTTACTCCTCACTCTTCTTTTCTATCCTACGTGGCGGACGAGTAATATGCATGTTTTAATACAAACTATAAAATAGTTTTAAAAAAAATTTAATCAAATAACCACTAAAATAAATAACTAACTACATACCAAATCTAACCCCAACTTTACTAAACAAAGAACTCTGTGTTCACATTGAGCCTTTTTTACACATCCCAGCGAATTTTTGGTTATTAATTTCCTGAAAACAAAAGAAGAAGAAGATATTTTTCTAATATATTTTATATAAAGCATTCAGTGTAACGATATGCTGCTAAAAATACCGGAGTATTTGTTTTGGATGTTCTTCTGGAATACTTTTACGGATGCTGCGAAGTATCCGGTGGTTTTGTGGCATGGCATGGGTGCGTACGTTAAAATATTCTTAAAAGTGCAGACAATTTTTAAATCACATGTAGGCGATACTTGTTGCTTTCCCTTTAGCGTGGGTAGCATTACAAATCTATTGAAAACCAAGCTGAATAACACGTACGTGAAATCGCTTGAGATCGGTGGTAATATTGTTACGGATTATGAGAGCGGCTTTTTTATACATCCCAATAAACAAGTGGAATATGTTTGCCAGGAATTAGCTAAAGATAAAAAACTTACCGGAGGTTATAATGCTATCGGGTTTAGCCAAGGGGGACAGTTTTTGTAAATGATCGTTATTGTTAGGAAAAAGAAGAGATATCTAATATATTTTTTCACTTCGATTTGTGATGCATTAGACGTGCTGTAGCCCAAAGATGTCCGAAACCAGCTATGAAGGTTCTTATTTCTTTAGGTGGTCAACATCAAGGTGTTTTTGGCTTACCAAAATGTCCCTCTTTGAAACTACACACTTGTGAATATATACGACGATTGCTAAATTATGCTGCTTATGAAGAGTGGACTCAACAATTTTCTGTTCAAGCCACTTATTGGCATGATCCCTTTCAAGAAGATAAGTACGAGGCTCATAGCACCTTCCTCGCTGACATTAACAATGAGGTATTTTCCAATGGTTTATATGCGGACAATCTAAAAAAACTGGATAAGTAAGTGTTTTAATAACATTTGAAGTAACCAACAAAACCTTTTATTTTACTTCATAGATTTGTTATGGTCAAATTTCTAAACGATACAATTGTTCAACCTTTAGAATCTCAGTGGTTCCAATTTTATAAAGCAAACCAAGACCGAGAAATATTGCCGCTGGAATCTAGTAAAGTTTACACCACGGTGAGTAAATACTGTATCATCCTTTTTTATATCCATCACCAAATGATGGAGATACATTTACTTTACCAAAATATTGTTAACCAGAGTGATGCTTCAGAAAAGTTAGTAATGCTACGCTACTTGTACAAAAGAAAAAAAAAATGGGCCACAGCCACCTAATATCATATATAATTGAAATTTTATGTTGTGCAAATCTTTTTCAAGATGGAGGTGATGGGTATAAAAGAGCCCAAATATATTTGGGTTGATTTCTCTTCATATTCATTTAATAACGAATTTCGACAATAGTTGGGCTTGGTTGGAATGGAAAAACAAAACAAATTGGTTTTTATAGAAACGGAAGGTGATCATTTACAATTCCGAAAGGAATGGTTTTTAAAGCATATAATACCGTTTTTGAGCGAAGAAGCAGATTGATCAATATTAAATTTAACTTCATGTTTTGTTTGGCAGTCGAAAGTGAAATCAGCAAAGTGCACATAAATAAAAGATGTTTAACAAATTTTATTAAACATTCAAAGTAACGATTTTTATTATATTTCTCAAATTCCGAAAACCGATAATATTTGCATCAAAATACATAGGTATGCAGTAAAGAGCTCCTTACAACGCCTTGTAATTTTAAACCGCAGCCGTGCTTTCAATAATGTTGACGATATCCTCTATAAAGTTGCATAACAAAGTGTAAGTTTGCATGAACAGTGAATCACGAAATGCTTTCAAGCGTCTTACGCGCTTCTCAATGACAAATGTTCGAACCAGTTTTTCATCGTGCATTGGTGGATACTGACGCTCTTCGAACTCTTCGTCACTGTCAATTTCTCCTAATGTAGCATAATATTTTGCAACTTCTTCATGGAATATAGGTAAAGTGGTTTTTACAAATGCCTCCTCCAAATTTAATGTCAGCTCTTCCCAATCATCAATGCCTGTACAGATGATACCGCGTACAAATACCAGTTTAGTGCGATCCTTCTCGGGATTTTCGACTATACGTTTTTCCAAGTCCATACATGGTCCTTTCATGGGCCCTAATATGCTAGCTAATTCATTTATGTATAAAGCACGTTGTTTAGGACTAGATATGAGGATGATGACATTTTTGAGAGTATCAATTTCCAAATTCCAGGGTTGTGAACGCGGTTTTTTGACCCGTCGATAAAGCTCCCTCAACAACTCAAGATCATGATAACGCTCACATTTGTACCCAGGATTGCGTTGTTCGAACAATTCCATTTCGTTAAGAACACGCTGATAGGGGCATGCCGCTTCAACAGGCCGTATTAGCGGAGTAGTTGAAGCTAAATTAGTGGTTAACTTGCGCATCATTGTCAAATTGGATTTTTCAATAACTTCCCTTTGAAGATCCAAAATTTTTTTCTCATATTCGGGTGGAACATTGCAAATACCCGATAATTTCATTACGATACCGTCCAATTTGCGGCAAAAAAATTGGGGTTCCACCTTCAAAATCCATTTAGATTTGACTATATCGACTCGTCGGGGCTGATAAAGAATATTGATTTCTCTCATTTCACTCGAATACAATCGAAACGGCCTTCGATCGAACAGAAATTCATTATCCAATGATTTCAGTAGCACTGAATTCTTCTCATAATACGAGCGATGTGTCCATTCGAAATTCAACACTTTTTTGCCAAGGTTTTTAATGGTAAGCACCTGTTTGACTTTTCTTTCAAACGGCTGAGATACAAAACTAACCTCGACACTAACATTTTTCGAACTACGCTTCTCACCCATTGCGAAGGTAAAGTCGTTTACCTTCATAGCATAGTCTACATTTTCAATTATATCAAGCCTACCACTAACGATTTCCAAAGCTTGTAAGCCGCCTTGCGTAGATTCACTGGAGATATTAACGATGTCAACGTGGCGCAGCACCTGTATATCCGAACTGCGTTTCATAACAGTAGATTTAATCAAACTTTCGCCAACAATTTGTAAATTCTCGATATCTGGATAGTATTCTATAACACGCTCTATATCTTCGCCGATTTCTTCAATTCTCTGCTCGAGGACTTTTGATTTTAACCACTTATATTCCTTTTCAGAGTCATAATATTTCGGTTTTCCCATCATTTCCGTTTTAACTACTTTTGGTATACCTGAAATCTCTACAACTGTACCCATATCCCGTTCAGCTCTTGGCAGGGTTTCTTGCACTTCGGGCACAAGTAAACAAGTTTCCATAGCGCACTTTTCTCTTAAAGTGCCTGGCTGCAAGTTCATTAATCTTATTGGTTCCATTCTTTGTGCGTAATCCATTAAACGTTGCACAGTATGTTTATCTCGCTCATCAACGGTACTTACGCGATTGTAGAGAATTTCGCTACGGCTTTTAGCAGTTTGTTTGCGTATTTTGTCGCCTAAACGTTCACGATCACGCAAAACATCTTTCCAGTACTTTAAACGTTTATCAAAACTATGCTCAGATGATTGCAATTTCTTGCTGGAGCATTCTGACGAAGATATGTCAATGTTACCTTTACGGTCATCAAATATTTTGTCGACGATTTCATTGATTAATCGCCGATTGTGATCCATTGAAATCGGGTGACTATACGACAACTCTGATGTTGGAGTGAATATATTCAACTCTGAACGATTGGAATCATTTAAAATGGTTGCACGACGCATCTTTGCTGATTTTTCTCGTAATCACAAAATGTAAAGTTTATACAAATATATATATTTATTTTCTTTGCTCAGTTACTCTAGGAGCTCTCTTCAAAATATAATACAAAAATATATTTCCAAAAATGAATTGAAAGTTTTCATAGTGTTGA